GGGGAGGGTGACCACCAGGCCGCTCACAGGCGGACCCCTCTCTGCTCCCGGGGAGGGTGACCACCAGGCCGCTCACAGGCGGACCCCTCTCAGCCCCTGGGGAGGGTGACCACCAAGCTACTCACAGGCTGGCCCCTCTCTGCTCCTGGAGAGGGCACGCCCACAGTGTGTGGCACACCTGGACAGGTGTTCTTTGCCTGACTTTCCCCTAGTGCCAGATAGGTGCAGGGCACTCCCTGCCACCAGCCCATGTAGCACATTCTAGAATTCCTAAAATAGCACTGCTGCTCTGCCTCAGGTCACAGCCCTGCTTTAGAGTCTGAGCTGTCTTGGAGTCTCTGGCACAGATGTCTTCCCACCACCTTGCTTCCCACCTGACATGCATTTAATTTGCAACCTCTCTTAGGCATCACTGCTTGAGAGCACACGATGTTTTAGTTCAGGCGTCCTCAAACTACGGCCTGCAGGCCACATGCAGCCCACCTGGGACATTTATCTGGCCTGGCCGGTGTTTTTGCCACCGTTGCCTGTTCTGCTTAGCAGCCAACTTGTCCCCGGGCCCACAGTCTGGCCCTCCAACGGTCTGAAGGACAGTGAACTGGCCCCCTGTTTAAAAAGTTTGAGGACCCCCATCTAGCCATTTAGAGCAGGCTAGTGTCCTGTGATCCTTGCCACTTCTTGATCTCAGATGATTTCTGAAAGAAGGAAGAACCACCTTCCATCACCCTCTAAGACCACAGACTCCTCTGGACACTGACTGTTTCTTAGTAAGACAATTATAGATACTTAACACAAACGTATGATTTTCTCATTCTTAATAAAATTAGGGCTTTAGGAGCAGGCGTGGCAGGGACCATGGGGCTTACTCTCCTGTACAAAGTTTGATTTCTAAAAAATGAAAGTAGAGGCAAGAGTCCCAAAATCGTGGAGTTGAAGCCTGAATCCAGACCTCATGAGAGGAGCCGACCGTGTTTCGTTCACTTTTCTGCATTAATGCTGAGTGTGAATGAAGAGGCACTAATCAGCTCTAGGACAGAAACCAGTGTTGCAAGGCTGGATATCAAATTTACAAGCATCTCAGGTTCAGTTACTCTAAAAGTAAAAACCATCACCTCTTAACGCCTTTCACTCTCAGAACTGTCTGCGTTTGTGAAGACCTATCTTACATCATGCACATAAATAAAACAAAACTTTACTCTCAAAGGAATCTGGACTGGATTTTTTGCCTCACATTACAATACAAAGTGTAAGACCAGATACCAAAACCCAGATAAATAAGAAATAAGAAAGGGGAAAAAGAAGCTTCCAATTCTAAATCATAGGCGTAATCACTTAGAATTGTACTTTTTTTAAATTATTTATTTCTCCAATTCATTTATCAATTTTTATATAGTTTTCAAGATCATACATGTACTTTGATTTTGCATGCTTATGCCATCATTCAATAAAAACGAAGTTTAATTCCATTTCTGGCAGTTGACTGTTCTTACTCCTGGGCTGCCGAATTGATTCCACTCCTTCTCTGGCTTTTAAGTTTGACTCCTGGTATAAGGGAACATTCCCCAGGGCCTGTTAACTTCTCAGCTGTGTCAACCAGCTCGCCTTTTACCTAAACCTAATTTTCCTGAGAGAAAACTCCCTACTTTAAACCGAGATGATCATCACCTGCCTGCATCAAGTGGGGACTTAGTTTAGCTGCCCAGAAAATCCAGATAAAGGCACAGGAATCTCTCCCCCGCAGTGCAAGTCCTGGAGTAGACAGGAGGCCATGGTGTCATCAGGACAGGGGTCTTGTGCTCATTCAGCACCTGTGTGTCCCCAGCTGCACTGTCTGTCCTGACACCTCCAGCAGGTCTGACGTGCTGTGGCTGCTCCTCCCTGGTCTTTGAGCTTCTTACCGTCCCGGTGTCTATCAATGATCTTTGGAAGGACCAAGTCTACTCATGCAACTCCCTCATAGCAAATAGAAAAGCCCTCTCTGACGGTTCTCTTGTTATACAATAAAGCCAAAGCTCTTTCATTTAAGAGACACAGTTCTTTGTCCTCTTGGCCCCACCTACTCTGCCAGCCCTGTCTTCTGACCCTTCCTTGCTACAGCCTTTTCTACCCACCTAGACTTCTCATATCCTCTGAGCACACTTCACTCACCTGTACCTGCCAGCACCACGGGTCTTGATACTTAATGCACTCTTCCTTCTTCAATTCTGAATCAACTGAAAAAGAAAAGCTGGAGTCAGCTGTGAATTAAAGTATCAGTGTTTTTAATTATTTTATTTTCTACAAAAGCTGGACTTGTCTTGTAGCCAGAAGCTGAATTATTATTTCCCTATCCTGAGGGAAAGACATTGGGACTTAAATTTGGTTCAGCTGAATAGAACTAAAAGCCATCAACAATATAGTGGCCTGAATTATGAAGAAGCCGGCCCCTGAGAGCCAGTGTGTCACTCTGCAGACCTTCAGGGATGCCTGCTCCTGTGCATGTCTGTCTGCTTTGCTATGCCTAGCATTTGGAGTCCATCCTTGGAGTTTTCTCATGGCCCAAAATAGCTGCTGGGGCTCCAGCTATTTCATTTGCATTCCAGGCAGCAAGAAGACAAAGGTGGTAAGGAACCTTCTCAAAAGGTCCCTTGGCCATGTCACTGACCACCAAAATGTCTCACGAAGTTACATCAAGCTTTGAGGGAGACTAAGAAATATAGTTTTGGTCTAAGCAATAATTAAGGAGAATACATGTAGTCTGCCCAGCTCTCTCCCTGCCCCGTCAAACCCTTCCTGCTTCTGTCAAGCTCAGAGAGACCCAAGCATGGGACCCAGGTTTGCTCACTACACAGACCAGCAGTAGTGTGGTGGAGAGGCAGCCCCGTATCTTTCTTTTGTTGTTTTTGAGACATTCTCACTCTGTCGCCCTAGATAGAGTGCCGTGGTGTGACAGCTGACAGTAACCTCAAACTCCTGGGCTCAAGTGATCCTCTTGCCTCTGCCTCCCACGTAGCTCAGACTAGAGGCACCTGTCACCATGGCTGGCTAATTTTTCTATTTTAGTAGAGACAGGTCATACTCTTGTTCAGGCTGGTCTCGAACTCCTAAGCTCAAAGGATCTTCACACCTTGGTCTCGTAACAGAAGGCTTTTCCAAATCATTCCTTGATTTGCCAGCTGGGGGCTTATGTCCCAAGGCCCACTCACCTTTGTAGGTTTGAAATGGGTGGGAAGTAACCCTGTCCTTGGGAGAGGGGCAGAAGGACAGTGAAGGAGGTGGGGGAGGGCAGGCAGGTCTTGGCCCCCAGGCACCCTCTCAGCTAAGGCAGTTTGGGGAAATAACACATGCTGAGGTCCAGAAACCAATTCTCCCACGATTACAGCTTGAACTCCCAGGACAGTTTGCAGGTAGGCGGCTCTAAGCATTTTTTTGTCATTTTAACCTGTAAGTCTCAGATGATAATGGGGCCTGCCTTCAGAGATGGTTCTGAAGGATAAGATAATGCACACAGAGGACTCGGCGCAGTCCCGGGTGCAGGGTAAGTCATCACCACCACCATCATTCTCGCTGTTACTGAGCAGCTGCTATTGCTACTGTCACTCGGCCCCAGCGTGCTTTCTCAGTGGCCCAGGAACCCCAGGCCGGTGTTAACACCCTGTCTGTGTTTTAGGCGCGGGTTTTCAGGCCCCAGGATACAATTTCAACACCTATGACTGGAGGAGCCCGAAACCAAGAAGCAGTTTGTCCCCAGGCTGTAAGCCTCGGAGCCAGACGTACCCAGACGTGGGGCTGAGCAGCGAAGACTGGGACCAGTCCACAGCCAGCGGGTAAGGCTTTACCCAGACAGCTTTGGGCCCTGGGGCAGGTTTGAATCTGCTACCTGCAGTCAGTGCACACGTCAGCGTCAGCGTGGGCCGGCACCATGCTGGATGCCAGCAGGGCTGTACCACTCCCCCGACAGCGGCAGCCAGGCAGTGCCACACTGCAGGGTGGGCAGAGCTGGGCTTCCCCACCTGGGAACCAGCCTGTGGGAACCCTGTCCTCACTCGGTGACAATGAGCGCCCTCTGCTTTCTGTTAAAAAGCTTCACATTCGGTT